TTTATTCATAATACAATAATAATGACATTTTTAGACCCGAGTTGTAAATTTTTGACCCGGATGACCCGGTTTATTATAACCCGGTTCTGAACTCTAATTTTCACACTCTTTCTTTCTTGCAATAACATACCAATTATCTTTATCATAATCTGTCTTGACTATTTGGGCCATTCCAGTACTTTCAACAAGTTCATCTAGTTCTCCCTTTTTAAACAAATGATAATATCTAAAATCAAAGATCAAGAAGAATATGAATGAGTCAGATAATGTATAACACGTGCAATGAACATTATTAGTATATGTTTACCGATTATAAATAACTTCCTTTCCGCCTTGATTCTTATCTGCCGGTATGACCCAAGGAACCAATAAATCCTGCTGTTCTTTATCAAATTTACGACGCGCTTCGTTGCTTTGTTCTAAGGCCCAAACATATATGAGAACGCTTGATCCAGGTCTTGCGATTCTAAAGAGTTCCTAATTCACGCGCAATATATTTGGTTTAACACAACATAGATGGTTTGATACAGTATTGGACTTCAAGTTTTAGATTTAACAAACCTTAATTGCCGCAAGCCTTCTTTCGAGTGTTGTGAAATGATGAATCACAGCAATTGATATCACAAAATCCTACATATTTGTTTAACCAGGTTACGTTTGAGAACTAATAAAGAATTACTCTTGAGAAAATTTATATGATACATGGTTAAACAATCGTTCGTACAAAGGATACAAAACATTCGTTCCGATATGGTAAATTTAGCGCATCACAAATTATACCTTCATGTCCTCTAGATACGCTTATCTCAATTAATTTAGAACTCCTATAATAAATAAAAATATGACATTAAGACATGAAAAATTTTAGTAATAATAATAGTCTGATCCGCTGGAAACGAAGTTTCCGCTTATTCACATACGGTCAGGGTATTATTAATTAATCCTCCCGTGATCTTGATATAGTGATCGGGGATTATATATCAAGATCACGGGAGGATTAATTAATAATACCCCGGCCGTATGTGAATAAGCGGAAACTTCGTTTCCGCTAATTCCCAACGGAACAGAATATTATTACAAATTAATTTATTAAAAATTATTACCGATCCGATCCAATCATATATATATTTTTATTAACTCCCAAATATTTCCCATTCCCACTTCCTATATCTGCACCTATACTACCTATGTCCAAACTATTAAGAAATTGTTCAACGACGGGCCATGGCTTAACATAATAAAATATAATGCTTTAACGTTCAAAATATGCTTTCAAGTTGTAATTTGGATAGGTTTAAAGCCGCAAACCTTATATCTAGTTTGACTAAAATGTGGTGCTATCGCTTGGTAAACATCGTGTACATATTTTTGTTCTTTTTTGTCATCAGTAAGGCTAGCATTATCGTGTTCTGTAAACGCTTTTATTGGCGTGATTGACATATACATGGGTGTTGAAAATATTTCACTTATGGAGTAAATTTAAATGGCTAAAATGATTTTTGACAGTCAAAATCGTAAATAATTTAGTATATCGAAAATATTTTAGATCTACCATAATTTCCGTGATAATTAACCAATCAAAGTACATAATTTATCATATACTACAATACTAGAAAACGAAAAAAAACATGCAAAGAGGCTTATAAACTGATAAAGATATGATAAATACTGTATACGCTGAAGAATTTATTACATATATCTAAAGAATAGATAGACACGTAGGTGAATCGTCCCAATGATGTCGTAACTTTGCTGTAATGTGCCGTAACTACAGCACATTTGCCGTAACCTTTTATAATTATTTAATACGTATAGTTACCATTACGGAAAAGTTACGGCATCATTGGGACGATTCACCTGCACCTCTAGACACGCGTAAAGTGGGTAAGTGTTATATTTATTACTAATAAACCCAAACTCATTTTACTGAAACTTGCAAATTTGCAACTTTAATACGTACTACTAGCAATTAGCTATAAAGCAACTATATAGTTACTTTATAGTACAGTACTGGACAGCAAGAAACATCCAATTTTTTTTT